AACATTGAAACTCAGGATCTCAGGAAAAGGAAATCCAGAGCAGGAAGTACTGGGATGATTAGAGTGAGGATTTGAAAAGCCTGGAGCAAAAGATATTATAACATAAATCCATTATATTCAATTGACCTTGAAAAGAAAGGACATAGTTAAGGTGAAAAATTTAGCCTGTTATAAAAGGGAAGAGAATAGAAAACAGAGTGCTGTAAGCTTTTGAAAATTTATTTAAGAGTCTCAAATACTTCTCCTTCCTCCATTAAAACTCCAAGTCATGGAGTCAAATGATTGAGTCTTAGTTTTCAGCAAAGAGAAAAAAATTCTAGCTGTCATCCCTTCAGAGAAAACCTTGAACATTCAAAGCCTAGAAAAATAGGATATAAACCCAAACATTAACTTCTATTTTTTAATAAATCTCATTATTTGAATATAATCTGTCTTGCAGTTTTTAACATAAGATACAGCATTAGTGAAAGCCTAGCATCTGCCTTCTAAGCAGACAGCAGCTAGAGATCCAAAAAAAGATCCCCAGCTGCTATCATAGTCATCATCAGCACATAATGACTGGCATGCTGGAATTGTGGGTAGCTCATTTAAAGCTGTCACATATTCATGTATTCTCTGCTTGACAGATTAACCCCTTCCCTGGGATGCAGGAGCACACTCAGTGCTCCCTCCCCGGCATCCAATCCCCCTGTTCAGGAGAGCACGACGCGATCACTCCAATAAAAGCACTCGCAGCTTGGAAGGCTCAGGCCACACACAAGGCCACAGCAAACCCTCAGTCTGTCACAGACACTCCCCCGGGGAGACATCCAGACACCTTTCTGTGTGACATTCCAGCTCCCTGATCAACAACCTGCTATCTACTGCATTGGGGAGTATTATTAAAAATTAAATAAAGATCTCAGGGTATCTTCCTAGCACTTTTTCACGCTTCCATGTGCATGAACAAGAAAATAAAGATTCGAGCTGGAATTTTTCCAAACCTATGCAGAATAATTACTCTCCTGAAATTATCTTCATCCTTGTGGATTTGAATGCATCCTTGAGAAATCTTTCCCTCCTTTCATATTCATCAGAAGAGAGGACATAACAGTACAATTAGCATACTAGAAATAAGTTTACATTTTGTAGAGGTATCTACCTACATTTAGTAGTTTACCACTTTCCATTGATGCCACAACTGCCATCCATTTCTAACTTTCACTCACCCCACAGAGTAGATCAAAAACAAATGGCAGATAAGCCAGATCAGTCATAAGGGCTGGTGTGACTGCCAACAAATCCTTTGGCTGATTCAACCATTTTGTAATCATCTTACATTTCAGTGCACCGACTCTCAGCCAAAAAGCCTTCAGATCTGTGTCTCAGCCCCCACCACAAAAGAGCAAAATCTGAAGACCTGAACTATAATGGTGTTATCAACAGAGCTAGAGAAAGCATCCAAATTCTCACTTCTGTGCTAATAGCCCCACTCTGAAGAGAAATAAAAGCTGGTTTTGGGGGATGCCAAATGAAGTAGCCCTCAAAATAGATGGAGTATCTATTTATTCCGCTGCTTGGAGGAAGTGTAAAGAATGGAAATCTATAATAACATTTACACATCCTTTCTTGCAGTTTTCACAGCTTCCCAGACATACCAGTAAACATTCATAGTCAATCCTATAAGAATCTCTGAGGATTTAAAAAGCTGCATGAACTCTGAATATTCATTCACAAGATACTTCTGATGCTTTTTTGTCACACTGTTTTCTTTTAGTAACATAAGATTTAAAAAAGAACTGATGAGATACTTTGTATTTAAGAGATTTCTTACAGAAAGACAGACTAATTCCCTTTGCTCAACATTAATGCTCTCCTGAGAAGCACTGCTTACTCCAAAGAAAGCTACAGTTCTTCCTCAGTAGCTTTTATCAGGCAGCAGGTTCAAGTTTCAGGTTGTAACCTGCTCTGTTCTGAACATACTCAGAATGTTTGCATCGATAGATAAACAACTGTGAAAACAAGTCCTAGTAATACTAGTGAATTCTCAGAAAAGAAGCATTTTTTAACAGGTATGCTCTGTGAAGAAAATAATGAAGTGACCTATGCAGTGCCTGACAGAACCTGGAGCACCAATTACCCCTCAGTCTAAAAGACTGTATGACCTCAGTTTAATCCCCACTGTAAAGCCTTACCTGGTATTTGAAATTCCTTGCCACTCCTGCTGGAGATGCAGTTCCACCATTGCTGCCTTCTGCAGCCGGATGAAATGCGAGCCACACACAACACACATGCAGTTCGACTGCTGGTTTGTCACCACTGCCTAAGGGAATGTGACTTCCAATTTCAGGGCCTTGTGGCTGTCAGGGAAACTTTTCCTGCTCGCATGAGAGAAGGGGCACTTCTCAAAATAATCTCAAAATAATCTTGTTTCAGTTGAGGGAAAAATTAAATGTGTGAATGAAAAGACTGTTCTATTCCTCCTTAGTTGCTAAATACAGGATTCAACCTAATAAACACTTCTCTAGGGTAAGAGCATCACCCTATATTGTTGGGGTTTTTTTTGTTTAAACCCACAGGGGTCCTCTTCCCCTCTTTCTCACGTACTCAAGATGAGAGAAGCTTCAGTGAGCACAGCTACCAGCATTCCAATTTATTCAGCAGCAACCCCTGTGGACTGCTAACAGCGGACTGTGATTCTGTTTGGATTACAAGGTGCAGATAAGTCATTCCATCCTTAATCTATCACTGTCAATGCTGGTAGGGGAACAACTTATACCTGTGAGAAGTCAGGCAGAGAAAAAGATAGATTGGGTAAAAAAAATATATATAGTGGGGTAAAAGGAATAGAGAGGATACAAGTCCATTTAGATTTCTGTGCACACATGCATGCAGAGGTAGTAAATGAAGGAATGGGATAAAGGAAGGGGGTGTTAATACAAAAGCAGCAAGCAGGAAGGAGATACGCAGATTCCAAGCAGAAATTTTCAGTAGCAATGAAAATCTCACTTCCAACATAATCTATGCCTTCCATTGCAGCGATCCCAGTGTAAAATGCCAGGGATGTTTGTGACCTCAGTAAATGCTGATGGATACCATCACACTGCAGCCATGATCAATAAACCTCAAGTACATCATAATGGAGCCTCAAACCTTCGCTTGGAGACCTGTCAGTAAACTGGGGCAATATTACAAATGGACAACATAGGATAATCCAAAAATTGCAAAAATGGAACAACTCAGAGACAAGTGAATTTCTTGGAGGATGGAGTGGAAGGCAGAAAACATGAAAGAGGAGGTAAGCTATTTAGGCATAAGTGATTGAGAACATCAATAGCCCACATCGGTTCTATGTGATGGAGGATTTGGGGATGGAAAACAGGGAAAGTAATAATGAAACCTGGGATTAATTTTTCTTTTCCCTTTTAAAGGAACAGTAGTGACTCCATCACTATATTTTACTACAAGCCATCATCAGCAATTGAAGTCTGCCCACTCGAGCTAGTGACATCCCCTTCACGTTTTTATCACAGAAACAATGTTATTTTGTGTGCATATAGAAGACTCCTTGGATTCAGTTATAGACTCTCTTTAATTTTGTTATTTGCTTGCCTGGCTAGACATGTAACAGGTAATTTATCCTAGGAAAGGTAAAAGAGCTGCCTTCTAAGCAGTCACATTAAAATAAAATGTTGACATTAAAATAAAACTTGGAAAACTTTTTTTTTTTTTTACCCTTGGAATGTCCAATGGTTGAAATTATAACCCAAATACTTGATTATTGATTATTCTGTTCTTCCCAAACTTACTCACTGCTTTCCACGGTAAGCACATTCTGTGGCCCAGAATAAACAATCCAAAGTGCAGCCAAGCAAAGTTTATACCCTAAAAAATGTATAGATTGCTATTAACGGCATGCTTTCTGATAGCATAGATCTTTCAAAGAGGTTGCAAGGAGTGGAAAACCCAGGAAGCTTTTTCGGCTCCCACCCAAATCCATTCACTTGGACTGCTTAAGGAAGACAGAAAACCAGTTCTAATAATAAAAATAGGGCATAGAAATAGTTAATAGTAGCCAAGGGAGAGCTTTGTAGAAACATTTTAAAAATAAGAGAAAACAAATAATGAACCTAGTGCAGTGTGAAAGGCTACAAAAATTAACAAAGAGGAGGAAAAAAAGGAGAACGCAGCTAAGATATCAGCAAGCGAGAGAACTTTCTCCTTGAGTACATTAACACGGCCAAACACAAAGAGAAGCGTGCACTGGAGGAAAGGAGAGCGGATCAGCTGCTGGCCCGGCCAGGAAAGGAGCGCGGCTCCTCTCCCACAGGGTGACAGCGGCCTCACACACCGCCTGTTCCCGCTGTGCTGACCCGGCTTCGTGGCCGACTTTGAATCTGCCGCAGCACGGCTCGGAGCCCGCTGCAGCCCCGCTCCCGCCCCGAGCCCTGAGGAAAGCGTGACCCAAATGCCGGGGCCGGGCGCGAGGGACACGCAGGCCGGGGCAGGCCCAGCTCCCGCCGCGCGCATGCGCAGCAAGGAGCACGGAGCCAGGGCCCTTCCGCACGGAACATCGCGTTCCGCGGCCTCACAGGCAGGAAGTGCAGGCTCTCCCCCCGCTTGCCTCTTCCTGCCTTGGGGCTGCCGCAGCTGCTTGCCCGTAACTTTCATCATTTTCTGCCGTGCCCCCAGAGGGTCATTTCAGCCCCGTGGTGCAGGCCCCCTTTGTTCTACCCAATAACGAGCTGGCCCTCGGTGACGTCTTTAGTTGCCAGGCAGAATTTCCCTTAGCACCTCCCGTACCGCCGCCGTGCCACCGGGAGGGGCGGGGCGTCTGCTTGGATTGACAGTACGGCTAGTGGGCGGGGAGAAACGAGCGAACCAATAATAACTCTGGTGGTCTTGATGAGCAGAGCTCGCAGCCAATAGGAATGGGCGGGTGGTCGCTCGGTTGCCAGGGCCACTCGGTTGCCAAGGCCGCGGCTCAGCGCGGTGGCGATCCCCGCTACCGCCGTCCGGGCCCGCTGCCGCCGCCTGCCCCGGGCAGGCGCGATGGTGAAGCTCGCTGCCAAGTGCCTGCTGGCAGGTGAGTCTGGCTCGCCCGCTCCCATCCGCCCCGCTGACCACAGGGGACACTAGAGCGGGCGCCGTAGGGTGGGGCGTGGCCGGCAGGACAGGCGGCCCGGCTTCCCACAGCCCCTTGGAGGAGCCGCCCCGCCGGAGAAGAGGTGGGAGAGAGGCGGTGGGAGAGAAGTGAGGACCTCGGCTGCCCGGGGACGGGAACAGTGGAAGTCGTGTGTGTTATTACCACTCGGTAGCCGGCCCCACCTACCACGTGGAGTCGAGCTGTGCCCAGGGAGGGTGTGAGGTGTAGTTGGATCGGCCGATTCTGAGAGGATGGTAGAAAGGTAAAGCCTAAGCAAAGAGTAGAAGGATGAAGCATGAGCACTTTACAGTGGCATCTTTTTCCCCCAACAACTTGGAGGCTAACCTGAGAAAAAAATGAGGTGAACACACCAGTTTATCTAGTCAGGATGGATTATGGAGGTGTTGAAAGTAAGTACCGCTGGCTGTTAACACTTTGTGCAAAAAAACTTATTTTTTCTCCTCCCTCTACATTGAAGCTCTGTGCAGCCTCAGCCAAAAGTACAAATCCTTTGTGTGCGGTCAACTCCCAGGTTTAACTCTTCGTTCCAAATTATTTCATCCAGAATAAAATGTTTGCCTTTTTTAACCTCAGAAGCAACTGACCATCTACTCACACAAAGCCAGATGTGGTCTTTGGCAAAGGCAAAATGAATTAATCTCCCCTGTGGGTCTGCTGCTGTGAACAGCATGAATATCTTGCCCATCTTCTACACCTGAAACATAGGCATCATTTCCAATTTGGAAGTTTCCTGCTCCCAATATACTGGCTTTGCTGAAGTCTATCCAGTTTTGTTTTTTAGTGTTACTAAAGGCCAATTCCACGACCATTTTAAAATCACATAAGTTTTCTTTGGATGACCTGTTAATGTCCTTAATCCCAATTGTGTCTGGAACAGTCTTTTCAATTCTCTTGAACAAAGAATAGGAATGTCCTATGCCATTTTTCATATGTTATGTGCTACAATAATATCCACGTATTATTAAAAATAATAAATTCACGAAGCAGACCAGGCAAAATAGATTTTCTGTTGCAGAAAAAAACACTCTGGTGAAAGGGACCTAAGATATGAGTAAGCACAACAACCTAAAGGGAACAAGAAAATGCAATTACATAGATAGGAGCAAATCCATTAGAAATGGAACTGGGAGCTCTTGTGGACCTAAGGAAATGGTTATGAAGAGCCAGAATTTGGAACTACACCAAGGTCAAAGAGAACAGGGGAAAAGGGCTCTTATTAGCAAAGCAGAGGCTATTAAATTGACAATAAAAGACAATTCCTGTATTACCTCGAGGGTCATTTACAGACACAAAGTAAAAAAATCTGTTGTCTGAGTCAACTATGGAGACACTACACAAAGGTTTTCATTGTAGAGATAACTGGCAGTAGCAGGTATTTTAGAAAGACCCTACAGATTCTGGCAGAATAACAGAAATATGGATAGAATATATTCTCTGTGATGCACTACTGGCACATGAGACTAAACAGGGCAAGGAAACTTACTTTGAGGAAGTGTACTGGGGTGATGGACTACAGAGGATGGCAAAGAGAAAAAAGAGGGAAAGAACACCTGGGGCTGTCATGTGAAAGAAAGGCAACACATTAGTTAAGAATTTGTGCTGGCTGATGCCTGCACAGTTTGGAGCAATGTGTGCCTCTATCTCATTTTACAAAGACAGATCTAATTGTCTATTGAAATACAGAATAGCTTCCACTCAGAACAGAGTGTTGTCTTCCGAACAAGCTTGAACTGATCAGAGAACAAACAAGCTGACTTACCAGATTTTCCTGTCTAAATATTATGAGCCCAACTCAGCTCAAAGTAAGCAAGCATGCTAAAAATGTTTAAACAAGAACTACATTTGGTTAATGCATCTAGGGGTTATTGTCACTATCCAAAACAACCTACCTCCTCTGTAATAGCATGTGAGCAGAGAGCTTTACCAATTTCCTTCAAAATACCATTAGGAAGCTGTAATGGAGTCAAAAATATAGCCCTTTCTTCGTTTATTCATTAACAACATAATGTAAAATAATTCCTTTCTGGCTTTGTTTATTAACAACATAATGTGAAAGACTATTCCAGGCTTGGCTGTTATGAGTTCGCCTTTAAGGGTAAAGCTTGAACCACTGAGGTATTTAATTACTGGCTCCTGTCCTTTTAACTATCCAGGCTAGTGAGATATTTTGTGGAGAAATGATAAGCTCTTTGGAAGCATTAAGTCTTTGTTTAGAAAGGGTTATGGTTTATGATCTTTTTCATGTAGTAGTATGGGCATATGTGAGTTCTGCAGAGCCTGAGGAAATGGCCTGAAGTTGTGTTAGGGGAGCTTTAGGTTGGATATTAGAAAAAGGTTCTTCACCCAGAGGGTGGTTGGGCACTGGAACAGGCTCCCCAGGGAAGTGGTCACAGCACCAGCCTGACAGAGTTCAAGAAGCATTTGGGCCATACTCTTGGGCACATGGTGTGACTCTTGGGGATGGTCCTGTGCAGGGCCATGAGTTAGACCCAGTGATCCTTGTGGGTCTCTTCCAACCCAGCATATTCTGTGATCCTGTGATTGCTTTGGATCTCACAGAGTTTTGTAAAAGCCGGCCAAAGCAGGCAGCTGCCAGGTTTGCCTGAAGTGTTGTGCAAGCCATATCAGAAAGCCTTGGCTCTAGAAGAGCAAAAACTAAAGCACCTTGCTTTTCCTTCCATACAGGGATGAATCAGCAGGCTCTTCTCCCCAGCCATGTGCTTTCTCTCTGACATTTGCTTCTGCTATGCCCAGGATGCAACTAATGAGCCACCAGCAGCATTGAGTCAGCAAGAGTTGCTCTCTTAGCAGGGTCAGCAAGAAGAGTTCATTGAGAAGTGTTAGCAGGTTAAGCAGCTTTGTCTCAGTACATTACAAAGATTTGAGTCTAGGGCGATGGGTAACCTAAGGAGAGGAAATAGCCTCCTAGGAAGCTCAGTCCCTTATGACATTGCAATTTTCTCTACATGATAATATATCTGGGAAATTTTAATTCCTAGGTAAGGGCTGTGGAGTAGGCATGAATTTTAGAACAAGCAGCAGTTCCACCCTGATCTGGCAGTCCTTTGTTGTTGTGCATAGCTCAGAAATCAGATGTCAGCCACCAGTATGCATAATGGTATTACCTTTTAGGTGGTTTTGTGCTTCATGTGACAGTTAAATTGCCTGTATTCAGAGTTAGAGAATCTAGAGTCTTACGACATGTGATAGTAACAGAACTGAGGAAAAATAAGATACTCTAGTATGAAACAAAAATATTTTATGGTTTTGGTTTTGCAGGAGATCCAGCTGTGGGTAAGAGTGCTTTATCCCAGATATTTCGCAGTGATGGGGCTCATTTTCAGAAGAGCTACACACTGGTAAGCATACAACAGGCTCAGACTGCTGTCTAAAATTTTTCTAAGATGAATGGGAAAAGAAAACTGAGAGGCCTAGAAGAAAATAAATATGATTTTAAGTTGAGGCATTGGAGGTGGGATCTTAGAGGTTTTTCTTTCTTACCCAAGATTCTGAAGAGAAAACATTTAACGTTCTGTAAGTCTGCATTATGTACGTGCTGATGTTGAAACTTAAGGCAGAATAATTTAGTTAATCTTGTGATTTTCCTGCTGAATCAATGTTTTCATAAGGTTTTGTAGTGTTAGAGAGCTCCCCCCTTTAGGGACTACTCTATGAAAAAGCACTGCTGAAGGAGAAAGCTTTTAATTCCAACTATTAAATGTGCATGTGGACAGTGTGCTTATCACTGTGCAAACACCAAGATGTGCTGCATAGCCCCAAGATAATTATAATCTACAGAAACTGTTCCCAGATGAAGAGGATACAGTTTGCAGTCTTCCAGTGTAAGAATCAATGGTGATGACTAATCAGAAGCAGGATAAAAATAAAAGTAAATGTAAGTAAAGTAAAAAAAGAAAAATATGAGTGTGGAGAAAAAAAACCTAAAATATGTTTATTCATTGGAATAAAGATGGAAACCAGAATTTAAGGATAGAAATAGAACAAACAAATGAGCTACAAAGTAGGATGAGATAAAAGATGGAAGAAGCACAAATAATCTCCGTCCCATATGTTAGCTCATCACATGGTTAGTGCAAAACGTTCTAAGGCGTGTGTTAGAGCAGCAGTGTGAGAGTAGACCTGCAGACTTCTGTTAATACTCTGAGCTGTATATAAGCAAATCTCTTTGGTTCTCCTCCTTTCTACTCCAGCTGAGCAAATCTATGAGTCTTTGACATATTGGTGAGATTAGGTTACCAGAGCTAGGAGGAGTATTGCTGAGTTTCCAGCAGTCTATGTTTGATGGAATTGTAATGATTCACAAGAATTGCCTCAATCCAATACACGGTTGGTATGCAGTTGGACAGGCTCTTAAAAACTCTTCTGATCCTCATTTTCCTGATTCTTCTTGACAGACAGCGGGAATAGAACTGTTGGTGAAGGCTGTATCAGTTCCAGAGACAAGTGATAGTGTGGTGAGTTTTTCTGTGACATAAATTGGGTCAGAAGGAGACATCTAGAGCTCAAGCCCCACATGAGTCTCATTCTGGTGGAAGATCACTGTGCATGTTTGTAGGGCAATTAAGTTGCATTAAGGAAATGAGGCTGATCATGTTTAATTGCTGATACTTCAGGGTTAGTGTTAAAATTTTAATTTTTACATACTTTATCCAACACAACATTTTAAACCAAAGTTATTGCTAGCTTTCTTGAAATTCTGTTCTGTCCTTTAGGTCACTCGGGTTTAGTTTGTGATTCTTGGAACTACAGAAGCCAAAGCATATCTGTTATTTTTCCTTAATGCTCTATACTCCCATTAATGGAATGTATATAATTTTGTACAAATAGTAGAGGTTACTGTCCCACTCCACATATTGTGTTTCCAGTAGGGATGGAAACTAGACTTGGGGCCTTGGAAGTAACTCTTACTGCTTATACTTGAAAAATGGCTATTTATTTTCTCATACTATCTGGAGTTTTCTCAGTGCGGGAAATTTGTCCCTTAGGGACATGACACTGCTATACTGAATAAAATGTTGGAGTTACAAGTTGCAGTATTTACTTCCAAAACCTTTCCCTACACTGCATTTTTCTTGGCAAGAGCCTTCTTTCTGTTTCCGCTTTCAGGAATTCTTCATTTTTGACTCTGCAGGAAAAGATCTATTTTCTGAAATGCTGGAGAAACTGGTAAGTCTTATGTAACAGTCCTCTTCTTCCAAAGAAGTGCTTTTGCTTTGAAGATCTGAGCTCCCCAGTCTGGCAGATGTAGCAAACTTTGTCTTTAGTGTAAATGGGAGCAATTACCTCAGTTGCCAACGCATCCTGTTCTACCTCTCTAAAACTTGTATAAGTACTAGAAGAAATACTTTCCAGAGAAAGGAAAGCAGATAGGCAGTATACTTACAAAATAAATAGGGAGTTTTTTTAACTGAGAATTTTTGTGTATTGTTGTTCAAAGTTTTTTTTTTTTCTTAGAAAAACATCTGTTTTGCTGCAACTTCAACAGTGGGAGAGGTTTTTTTGTGTTACAGTGATGTGTTTGATCCAACAGGATTCATTCTTGTCCTTGAGCATAATCCTGCCCTTGGGTTTTTTCCTTCACATATTTGTGACCTTCTCTGTATAGTTCTCTACTGTGTTATCTCATTTTGAGAAGCAGAATCAGTTAATTGATGTGAGCTTTCATAAGATGGCTAAGTCAACCTAATGGTTCATTGTCTACAAAAGCGATTCCACTTTTGCAGTTGCACTAGATCTGGTTTGCAAGAGACTTCTCTAGAAGCTGGCTCAGCTTCTGGAACTGGAAGAAAACCTTTCTACTTTTTTTCTAGGGTTAATTTTGTGCTGATTCAGCATGAAAAATTAGCTTGCCCAGGGATCAGATGAGTACCAGAGCTGATACAAGTAAAGGGGCAGGACTGTGCAGAAAGGACTAGGGAGGAAAGCAAGACCACCTCTCCCAATGTCAGAGATTTAGTTGGGTCAACTGAAATGTGAAACTTTACCCAGAGCATAGGATTCCTGGGTGTTAGGCTTTTTATTTTCATCTTAACAGCTGTGTTTGCCACGTTTACAGCCTGGCTGTTGACTGCATCAGTTTCATTAGAGCTGACAGTGTTCCTTTCTTGCTGTGCAGTGGGAGCAGCCCAACGTCCTGTGCCTTGTGTATGATGTCACTAATGAGCAATCCTTCAACAACTGTAACAAATGGCTGGAGAAGCTCAAGGCTCAAGCAGTTGGGCTGCACATCCCAGGTAAGAATGAGTGTGATTCTCATTATCTACTCCCCTCTTGTATGACAACAGTTGCTTCTGCTGAGCTGTGGAATAGAGCATTTATTTTAAGTCAGAGGCAGACATGGCTTCTTCCCAACTCCTTTGCTTTTATCAAAAAGCAGATTAGGCTTGAATATGTTTCCTTTTTGGAATCTTTTCTAGGTGGTTACAGACTCCACACCTCCAACTTTTTCAGTTACTTCTACAAATGTTCCAGTATTTATGGCTTACGAGTCAGCATTGATGAGCTGGGTTTTTTTTAATTTTGTTTCATGTCTTTTTTTCTGTAGGTGTCTTAGTGGGGAATAAAACAGACCTAGCTGATCGTCGGGTTGTGGAGCAGGAACAAGCACAGGAGTGGGCTGAGAAACATGGCCTGGAATACTGTGAGATGTCAGTGGTGAGTATCTGCTCCTTTCACCATCTGTGCAGGGGGATGTTCATAAAGTTATCTTCTCTTTCAGGCAGAGAAAGATAACTGGAGACTCTCTTCCCCTTGTTTGTCATCTAACTCAGTTTTCATCCTTCTTTGGTGAAACAGAGCAGAAATAGTCAAATGCTCATTCCATCTGCAATTCACAACTCTCTTATTTCTTTACAGAAGGAAATGAAAAATTTTGAGGCCCCTTTCCACATCCTGGCAAAGTTATTCCACCAACTGTACAAAGAGAAAGTGGAAACTTTTCACTCACTAGCCTGACTGGTATGATTTATTTATCCTCTAAGCTTCTTCTAGTACTGAGACTCCTGCTGGACTGAACACAGAGAGAAGAAAAAATGTTAGCTATTTGCTACTTCATGGTCATCCTCTGGTAATTCAAAATAAACTAGAAATAAGCAAGTAGAAAGACACTTTTCTGAAGCTGCTACCTCAGCATTCCTTTCATGTCCTCTAACTTGGTTCTCTGCTCATTGAAAGTCTGCTAGGTTGGAGGAGGCGGAGAGTAAAAGGGGAGGACAGAATGGAAATTGCCAGCTCTTTGCTTTGATATCTTTTTGTCTGAACAGACTTCCTGCTGCTATAAGCAAGGATTTAGAGGTTTGGAAAAGGAGAGAGGAAGCTGACAGGATGTTTTTTGACTAAAGCCAGCCTTGATACATACACTGCAGGGCAGCAGTGATTTGGCCCTACCCCTTGAAAAGCATTTTCAGGAGGAGGCTTCTTGCCCTAAAATCAACACCTGGTTACTGAGATGTGTGGAGTCAGAGCTGGATTTAGGTGTGTTTCCTGGAGTGCCCAGAGTTGGAGACCAGTTTTAACAGTGTTGCCCTTATCATTTGTGGGATTGATATGCTGGTGACTAATGCATGTTTCTAATTTCCAGAATCTGTTTCTTTCCTTCGGCGTGGCTCACTGTCCCTGCCTGGTGGGAGCCGTGTGGCGTCCAGCCGCTGTCACTTGGTGACGCAGTGCCCTCTGCTGGTCCCAGGTCACAGGAGTGCTCCAGAGGCTGTCACCTCCCTTGAAGTGAGCATGAAGGGCTTCCTGCGGGCTCATCCAAATTGGCTTAACTGCTAAATGGAGTCAAATTGCAAGAAAACCTATTCTAAAGATGAATCTAAAACTTATAAAAATTACCTTTTCTTCTTCATGTCTTTATCATCTTACATATTGTTGTGTCATTTTTGTCAGCTGAATTTGGCAATAACATTCTGATTAGGTTCAGTTCTCAATCTCAAAATCAGAGTCCTCTTATTAAAAGTCTCTCTGCTTGTCATTGAATTTCAGATAAAAGACCACGGTTCTGATGTTGCTAGTGGAAACAGGACTAAGGAAATGAAAGACAGCCTGGCTAAGTTACTCTGACTCAGCTGTGTCTGGCTAGAAGTTTCATATTAGAAAAGGTAAAAGCCTAGAGAGAGTTGCTCTTTTGTATGGAGTACTGATGTTGCATGTGTAAGAGTCTTTGCTAATGCTAAAGATTCTGTGGTAAGGTAGTGCCTTGTAACTGAGCCTAACACCAAAGGTTTCAAAAATTTAGCCATTATCTTCCAGATTGTGGTAGACTCTCTTGGGCAAGGGAAGCTGAGTTTTGTAGAGACTAAGCACTGAGTGATTTTTCTGGCAGTCTTTTCAGGAATCTGTGTTTCAAGACTTTCATACTTGTGGTTTATAATCACTTTTATGCCCAGTGCTAGGAAAAGTACATTAAATTGAACGTAAGAAATATGGCTGCAGATGTTGTAGCAGAGTTTATGAAGCACTTCAAGAATCTGGAGAAGCAGTGAGTTCATTTCTCTGCCAACAGTGTGTTGATGCTGGGAACTCACTAGGGAACATGAATACCGGTTAAAGAGGGTGAGTAGGAGCTCAACCTACAAGAAGTGAAAACAAGAGGTTCTTTTCCTGGAAGCCAACTCAAAAATGACAGAACAAGCTGGGAAAGCTTCTGCTTTCTCCAAAGAAGGAAGGGGTCCTCCATGAACTTAGGGTAACTAGGAGTCTCACTCTTTTTTGAATTGGATTAGCATTTCTGGCATTTATATTTTACACAGGTTGTCTTTTTAATACTGGGTGTTTTCTGTTGATTTACATAGGCTGTATAGACTCCTGCTTGCAGGTGCTGGTGTCTCTGACTAGTAAGAATAAAAGCTATTTTGGTTGTTGTGCTGATCTAGTTAAAGAACTAAAGAAGGTTTGTTTTTATTTTGTATCTCATTTCCCCCTGGTTCTATTGATGATGTGATCACAAAACAAGACACATATTTTTTCATAGTGAAAATAACATACCAGACGTGTATGTCACCTGTGACGTGTATCTAGGAGGGGTGAATGCCTTCAGAATATGTAATGAAATGAATTCTGTGCAATCTTTAACCAGGGAGTCAATCTCTCTGCACCTGAAGGACTTCCCATAACTTCAAATAAACACTCTAAATGCGCCAGTAAGATTAAGATTGCTGAATGCACTTTTATAAAATAAATGCAAAAGCTGGAGGAGCTCATTAAGGGAATGCTTGCAGTGGTGATTTGTGGTTTATAGGGAAGCTGCTTTTGAGAAGTTAGTGAAGAAAAATGCAGCCCGTGCAGGGAAAGATGTATTGCCTGAGAGAGAAAATATATGATCTAATTAGCTAACAGTAGGGATTCACCCACAGCCCCTTTCCCTCTTCCGCAGGCCACAACTACAATTAGAAAAGAAGGCATGTCTAAAGCATATTGTCCAACTTGCTTTTTACAGTACTATTTCAAGCACTAATGTGGACACAATTTAATGTCCTTCAAAATAGGGTGTTTGACAATAACAATCTCAACCCTTTCAAATGCATTTTAACAGCATAATATCTTGTCCTTCCTGGCTAATGTGCTGTATAGTACCAGCCTGATGCAAGTGGTGGTTGTTGCTATTTTCCTGGCTTAATTGTGACCTTGGTTGTAGAGGCTAGGAGTGAAGAGGGGGTAGAAAACATGGGAGCCAAACATGGGAAGGTTGTGGGAAATAGTTTTGTCTCTGTGTGGAGTTCAGGGTTATGAGTAAGTGAGCTGGACCGGCAGGATGAGTAAGAGTCTGGAGCCATTATTAAGTTTCTCCTATCTATTTACTAACTGTGGCAGTCACATCTGTAGAGTGAGGATGCATGTTTGCTGCTTATAGGCTTAGTATCAGTCTGAATTACAGATGCTGTGGAGAACTGTGAGTGGAAGACAGAAAGCTTGAATGCTGACCAGGAAGCTTGCTGTCCTCTTACAGCTCTCCTGCTTTGTCCAGCTGTGCAGAGCTGCAGGTGCTCAGCATGAGTGTTAAAACACAGAAAAGACCCAGCTCAACCAGAACTGAAATGTCAAAAGAAGGAGAAGGAAACAAACAGGCCTTTAACTGCTTTTAATAGATATGTAGTCCTTTTTCCTGCTTGCTTGTTTGATTAGACAAAATCATTTCTTTCCTCCCTGGAGTCCCTCCTTCTTACCTTTCCTTTGGTCCTCATGGGTCTGCACAGAATCTCTGTTACACTTGTGCCCTATTTTACTTAGCTTGATACATCACCAGCTGATTTTTTTTTATCCTTCTAATTTCTGCATTATCTATTTCCAAGGCTGCAAGACATTTCTTCTTAGATTAATAGACAAAAGGAAACAAAAGTGGATTTTTTAGTCAAATTGTCGTGTAAGAAAAAGCCTTAAGAAGCTGTCTGACATTCTGAAATTTTACTGGAAATTTGTTTGTCTAAAGTTGTCATATTAAAGGTGCTTTAATGGTTTTATTTTGTCTTGCCAGATGTAGTCTACTGTGAAGTGAAATTCAGGATGTAAAATTCCAGAAAGTTCAGGTTTTATTGTGGGAATTAATAAGAGTTTCAAAGCTGATCCCACTGTGATAAGATCTGTTGAGTCTTAACAATGGAGTAGTCACTGCTGTTCATAATGAAGCATTAAATATACTAAAATGGGGCTGTCAAAACAGTTTCTTCGAGAGATTTGTTCATTTTAAAGACTTTAAACTTAAGAAGGGACATTTTTTAAAAGACTGATCTGATAAATGACACCATTTGGACCAGGGTTATTTCTGATATAAGTTCAGTAACTTAAAGAGCTGGATTTAGTCTTTTATGCCAATTGACTCCCCTGGGTAATCTTCATTTCTTTGCCCACTATACATCTTGGACTGATCTGACCTGATAGCAAAAGACACATGATGTTGTTGAAAATGAAATACTGCCTTGGGGCAGAAGGATAAACTGTGTGGCCTCCTGAGGTCCTCCCAGCAATACTTTCTATAATTCTATTAGATTAAGTGAGGAAAGAAGTAGCGTGGAAAGCACAAAACAGGCTAAGTCATAAACTAGCAATTAAACTGGGAGCTGGGCTGGGCTGCAGCAGAAAACGTACAATCTATCCCAATTAAGAGCTGTATCTCAAGAGAAACTGGGAGCCTGATGCAGGTGCTGACAGCAGGGAAAACACTGCATTTCTGTTCTGGAGGCAGCAACTGCTTTCTGCTGGTGCTTATGCAGATCTGTAGGGGTCCTTACGCAACTCAAGGCTGTGCTCTGTTTTTAATAATTGCTGTATCTATGATGTTCAGGTGGCAGTTGCTTGCAGTTGTGGTCTCATCTGCCCGCACAAAGTCAGCAGTGTGACAGCAGATTATTTGTGAGTGGCAGGAAGACATCCCTATTATTGACACCTGCGTGATGAGACCCCTCTCTCCCCATGCATTCTCAGTTCTTTTCCTATCTCATATCTGCTCCTTGATGGACAATATCCACCTCTGCTTGTTCTTAACAAGTAAGTTTTCCGTCTTGCAGATGATACTATGTGGAACCTAGGGCTGAGAGACTTCTCAGACCTTCTGCAGAAAAGGTGGAGTCAGAGCAGGAGCACTTCAAGGGCCATGTTGGCCTCCACAACATCTCTTTTAGCCTAGGGGCACATCATCTCTTCACTTCTCATGTCCTGCTGTCATTTTGCCTGGAGAACAATGTCTTCTGTGCCAGTTGCCCTTGGCTCTGTTGACCCGGAACAACAATGCTTAGGGGAGGGAGGAAGAAGAGAGCTACTCAGTCTTGAGTCTTTTCAGGGCTCTTTAGCTGTTGTAACTCCCTGTCGAAATCACCGGAGACATGGGGATGTTGCTCAGTCTAGGGTGTAATTTCCTGGCAGGAGACCACCAGCTCAGTCCTGGCAGCCTCATCTCAGCTCTTCAGAGCTTGCTGCAGTGTAACTTTGTCAGACACTGGCTGTTCTCCTTCTAACCTGGGTTTTGGTGGGAATTTTTGATAGGGTTTTTTTACTCCTTGGAGGTCTTTTGTTTTTCTGTCATGGCTTCACATACTTCCTCCCCTAGAGCAGTTTGTCAAGAGAAGCTTAGGATTGCTCCCTTTCCTGGTCTCTGAGATTTAGTTTGGGAATGTTTAAAAGGGAAATGTGACAGACCCTACATGTCAAGCTGGGGTCAGGGAGGGGGTCAGTTTGATAAGTTTCCCTCCAGCTAGATATACATCAGTTGGAGATATGTGGAGCCTGTAATCTTTCTGCTCAAGTAGTAGAAAAATAGCCAATATGAGGGCTGCAAGTTAGGAACTGTGAGGAAAAGGGTATAAAGGCAGAAGTGATCGATTTCTGTGTCCCAGACAAAGGAAATGTAGGAGCAGTAGGGGAACAGGAATATGTAGGAAATTTGTAGGTCTGTATTCCTTCATGAAGAGCCCAAAGTATTTGCTGAGGCAGATTGGGAGGGTGGGGTTTAGGGATGGGAAAACCGAAGGCTTTTCCTGTCTTTTAGAATGCTGTATGAAAATAAAGTGGGAGGAAAAGTAATTTTTGCATGAGCCACTGAGGGAAAATGAGGATACAGGGTAAAGCTGAATGACCTTGCAGATGGAAGGGCAAGTAGGAAGAATAAATAACTGAAAGAAGATTTTCAGGGCCAAGGGCAGACAGGAGGATTCAGAGCCATGATGAGGAAGGTCACTGGTAGCCATCAGTTTAGGCTGAAGATGTAGGGCCTGCAGTAGAATAAGGCAGGAAGAGTTAAAGTATGTGTGACACTGGAATTTGAAAGGGCAGAAACAAGAATCCAGAACTATAAACTTAGGAATAGTGTGGGGCGATAAGAACTGCAAGCTGTGATGCTATGAACAGCAGTGGCTGGAGACAGTGTATCCAGGTGAGACGAGAAAAAATAGAGTAGGTATGGTGAGGGTACTATCAGACTATCAGGGTGGAAGAGTGTGAAGAGATGGAAATTCATTTTGAATACAGCTCTTCTGAGGGAATTTCTGAGTTGAGGAAAATAGATATCTACAATTGGTACCCACATATCTTCATAAACACATTTAAAACACAAATTAATTCCAGTGCTATCTCCACTATCTCTATTTTCCTTTGCCAGAAATTATCATGACTTTACTGCTTAAACCCTTTTTTTTCTTTTTTTTTTTTTTTTTTGGAGGAGGAGAGGGGGTGGGAAGGGGAAGAGTGGGCAGCAACACATGCATTTATGCCTAATTGTGATGGTGCACCATGAATACATTCAGGGAATGGAAAGAGAACCTGCACCTCCACCTGACCAGGCAGAAATGCCCACTACAACTTGAGCATTGATATCTCACAGCAGGAACTTCACAATCGGTTCATTCAGCAGAAGGGATGGAAGGAATATTTTCTGTGTTGGTTTCCCTTCTCTGCTTTTGCTAATTCATTTTGAGTCCTGTGAAGCATTGCTCTCTCTTAGTCCAACAGTTATGCGTGGCCATTGTGGGCCATATCTCGGAGTTTGTTTCTGTGATGTTGGGTGGCTTCAGTTTGAGGACTGCAAAACTTGGAAGTGTTGAGATTCAAGTTATAGTTGAAACACGAGGCATAAAATCAGCTTGTAGGCACAGCAGAACAGAGTATCTAGGAAAGATGTCTTGCAGGTTTAAGATAATGCTTTTCAGTGCTGTTGTCAGCAACTAGAGACTGCAATGAACGTGAAAATGTTAGATGAGAAAGGAATTCTGGTGGGTTTGGAAAGGATAACAACTATGAGTTTCTTCCAACAGGTAAATGCAGAGGAAAGGATGCTGCAAGTCTCTGGATGGAGGTATCTGGGGAGGTAGTGGAAGAGGTAAAGGAGCATTCTTGGGCATTGTTTATCCATGTTACATGGAACATGGATAAGAGCAGAAGGATGGTTCTAGTATGAGCAA